CTGACATTTTAAACAGATCTTTTTGAAACTGATCGAGATCCAAGGACGTCATTTGCACTGAATCACTCTGAATGATAAGTTGCACCCTTTGATGGTTGCAATTTTCCTTGTCCTCTCAAAGGACCTAAACGCACGCCTGGTCATTTTCCTGTAAAATATAGCTTGACCTATTTAAAGGCATGAGGAGGATATTTTTGAAAACTCCGTTGGTATGTTATGTTGAACGTTTAATTTGGCTCAGGAAAAACAAACACAGTTTTCCCACGCTTATGAATCCGTTAATTCCCAGCCTCTCTGAAGCGCAGTTGCTAAGACTCGGATCGCAATTTCAGTCACTGCATTTTACAACTAGATGCTAAAATTTTTGGCTTAGTTTAAGAACAACTTACGGACAGGGCCGGATTAAGAGGGTGGCCACATGGACCGCGGCCCATGGCGGCGAATTTAGGGGGCGGCGAATTTTGCAATTTTTTTAAATGCAGGTATGAAAAAAAAATCGGATTCAGAAAAAAAAATTACTAACGAGAAAAGGCGACAAAATCTCTTTTTCGTGAGAGTATAGTAATTGCTAATTTTGTCGTCTTTCGGTGATACAAGAGACTGCACCTTTAATTAGTCAAGTTAAGAGAGAAACCAAACACACGATTTGGCCTGCAGAAAGGCATGACTACCAAGAGGACTTGAGATGTAAAGGAGAAGCCCTCGGCGCGGCGCGGCGGTCGGCATGTAACACATATTAGCGCCTCCAAGAATGCATGAATACTTCACGCATTGCGCCAAACACAATGCGGTCAGCACTAAACGCATAGCGCCTACAAGACTGCGTGAATACTTCTCGCATTGCGTCCAACACGGTGCTGTATGCGCGGCGCGGCAGCGGATGTTAAAATCATTGAACCACATTTATGTTTGTTCTTTCATAATTTTTTTGTTCATTTCTTATGAATGGAATGCCTTGTGTCCACACAGAGATAGGTTTACGGAACTTAACTGTCGCGCAAAGTTTCGTGAACTTTTGCTAGTAGTGTTGACAGGGCTTTCCCAAAAAATGTGTTCAACACGAGTAACTGCGTGATATGCACCGCTCTCCCGCTGGCACGTACATTTGATGGTTTTTATCGAGTTTCAAAACGAATGAGGAGGGGGCGGCAAAATATAGGCGGCCCATGGGCGGCAAGTAGGTGAATCCGGCCCCGTATCTACATATATTAGAAGTCTGATTGCGATGTGATACGCATAAGACAAATGAGCCCAAAAGTTTAGTGAGTATACGTTTGGAAAATATGTTTGCATAACTAAAGGAAAATTGAGATGAAACGTTTCCCTAATTTGTTTCAACGCCTTACCTAGGATTTTTATTGGGAGACGCCACTGGAAAAAAAAAACTACATTGGATCTAGAGTCCAGACTTAAAAACATCGACAAGAAAAAGTACTCTTGATTCAATCAGAATCTAGCTTAAATCAAGAACCAAGCCTCTTAATTTAAGCGGATTTCGTTTTGATTCAAGCAAAAATCCGATTGAATCAAGAGTATTTTTTCTTGTCAATGTTTTCAAAAGTCTGGACTCTAGATCCAAAGTGTTTTTCTTCCAGTGATCGCTCCCTGGCCGCTATATGCATCAAAACCCCAGAGGACGCTGAACCTTCCTCTCTCTAAAGCTCGCTTTGCGGGTCCCCGTGAGTGAATCAAAGTAGAGCGGGTGCATTAAGGTGATTCGGCGGTCGCCATTTTTTTGTGTCAGGGCGATGCGCGGTATATCGCATCGATTCGTTCGATAATTTCAGCTACTTGTCATTTTTTTCGAATTTTCAGACCGCACCTCTGTTTTCATGAGACTAAAGAATTCATGTGCCAGATTAGACAAAGAAATTCAACGTAAAAAGGCGGGGTTTTTTTTTAGTGGAAAAATACAGCATTCGATACTGATGTCGAAACTGCACTCGAATGCGATATTTTTTCTCTGAGAAAACCCTGCCTTCATTACGTTGAATTTCTTCGTCAAATTTTATGCATGACGTTTTCAGTCTCATGACATCAGAAGTGCGATCTCATAATTCGGAAAAAAATGACAAGGTAGCTGAAATTATTGAACGAATAGATGAGATATATCGCACATCGCTGTGACACAGAAAATGGCGTCCGTCGAATTACCTAAGGACTATAAAGTATCAACAGCCACAAAAATCATGGACATTGGCCCAGTAGAACGGTAAAACAACCTGTCACATAAAATGAAATAGGGGATCAGACGGCTTCTAGTAACAATGTGAGGATCTTTCTACTGGCTTCCTTTAAATACTTCGTCATTGATTCATTGGACGTATTTCTATCAAACGAAACTATGTGCAATATGACGTGAGCCCTGAGACTCATAAGAGTATATGCTTAACAGGGCTCACGTCATAATGCACATAGTTCTGTTTGATAGAAATACGTCCAATCGTCCATGAATCCAGAGCATTGGTGCTCCAATTTGGTGCTCGAAAATCGAATAGTTCCGTAGGACATTTCTTCTGCAAGGTTTGGCCCTGCCTCACTGAGTTCCGAACTGACCGTTAGTTGATGTACATTTCTGACTGTCCTTTTTTGAGACCCTTTCGTGAAAACGAATTTCTCGGAATGCACGCTCGAAATTTTTTTTCTGACGGGTCTATGAAACGACTTTACTGCATTCCTCGTTCATAGGTCCGTGAGTGCAAGGGCCGCAGCCTACAATTGGACGTATTTCTGCCAAACAGAACTATGTGCATCATCGCATGAGCCCTGTTATGCATATATTCTTATGGATTTCAGGGCTCACTTCTGAATGCACACAGTTCCGTTTGGCAGAAATACGTCCAATTCAAGAGGCAACATTGAAATACATTCAAAACGTCGAAGCATTTTCTGGAAAATTGACAGCGTCGCGATATAAATCAGTGAAGGTTTACTTTATCGGCACAATAGGCAACTCTGGATTTAAGTCAAGGTGTGAGAGAAACAAGCAAAGCATCTTCAATTGGACTACATTTTGCAATTTGGAACTATAAATTCCAGCTCAGTTCAAAAACAATGTATGTGCCATTAGTTTCCCTATGCATATACGTGTTTTTTCAGATGAGCTAGAATTTATAGTTCCAAATTGCAAAATGCAGTCCAATATTAGTATCGCAAGCGACAAATACTAAACGGATTTCATTATAACGCCTGGCCTGGATGCGACTATTCGGGCTCTAAGTATTGCTGTCCGTGTTGCATAGCCACGAGTGTGAAGGCGTTTTGACTTTCCAAGCACTCATCGTTTCTCTCTCGATGTGGCTTCGGTTTTGATATCGCGATGCTCTGAACGTGATTTGAAGAGCAACTATTCACATATAGAAGATATTCAGAGCTGCCTCTGTAGTATAAACAACAAATTGAAGGAACTATATCCTTTCGGATCCTCGCAGCACTGTCCGCCGACGTCGCGGGTGCAACGGTGAGTACCTGGTGCCTGGAGAGTCAAAACGCCTTCACTTTCGTGCGTATGTAACAAGGACATCCATGAAGCACGTATAGTTGCGTCCAGGCGAAATATTGAAAATTAAACCAAAACCATAAAATAATTTCACTTAGAGGGGTTGTTGTGACTATTTCTGTTACTTGAACTTTACCTCTTGCAAATTTTACTTTGAAAAATACGCGAGTTGAGTGAGACATCAATTTTAACAGTTTTTTTAATAGTTGTCAATTTTCAAATTTACAAGTTTTTTAATTTTTTTTCTTTAATTGTCATTGGTATCGGAGATTTGGTTCATATTTCCAGTTTTCAAATGAAGAAAATCTCTCTTTTATTACAGTGAAAAAGGGAAACGCAGGAATACAGGAAAGAGATATAAAAGGTCAAATAGACCATTTCAGTAGAATAAACGACAGAGCTATTCGTAATTTCCATCGAAATCATCCACTGAAAATTTACACGTATAAATCAACGAATTTTTAGTAAAGCGAGGACACCAACAAAGTAATTTTAAAAAAGGGAAAGGGGGAAACGGGATGGTTAAAGAAAAGATATTCCTTGGAAGCAACAGATAGTGCAGATAATGATGATTATATTTTAAAATTGCTGTGCAGAAAATGCGAAAATGAAGAAACTACGAAGAGGACGAAGAAAAATCCTCGAACAGACCAGTGGCGTGGAGTGCTTTGCGATTTATCGATTCATCAGCCATTTAAACCTATGGAAAAGGATCGATAAACAGAGAGTTCGCAGCGAACACCTTAATAATCGATTCTTTATCATAGGTTTAAATGGCATAAATATCGATGTATCGCAATTCACGCCACGCCACTGGAACAGACATTCTCTAAGTATTCATTTTAGTTATCAGGATTCTTACTTAACCCTTTATGGCATGAATTAATGTTGGATCTCAGATTCCAGGGGACATTAATCTATTTTGTGGCTTGCATAAAAAAGTACCAATTTTTTTTACAATTTTAACTTAAGGGAATCATGTAAAAAAAAAAAATGAAATTTTGCAAAATCATGGCACGGGGGAAAGATTCAATTTTTAAAAACCCCGCGCGAAAATGCGTCGTTACAAATTCGTAACGCTGTGCCATAGAGGGTTAAAAAAATAGGAATGATCAGGTCGGATGAAAGATTCCGACGAGGATGAGGAAGGAAGTAAAAAAAGTGAGGAAATACCCTTAAACCTTGAAACACGGAATATACAAAAATGCGAATATTACATGGAAACCGTAGAAACATCCGTAAGAAGACGTCCTTAAACTATTAATCTTAATGGAGGAAAAAAAAACTGTGATAAGGGGTGAAAAATTCTGACGGAAAAGCTAAAATTAGTAAAGAAAAATAAAAGGGGTGAAAAATTCTGACGAAAAAGCTAAAATTAGTGAAGAAAAATAAAAGGGGTGAAAAATTCTGACGAAAAAGCTAAAATTAGTGAAGAAAAATAAAAGGGGTGAAAAATTCTGACGAAAAAGCTAAAATTAGTAAAGACAAATAAAAGAAATACCTTCAGATCTATGATCTTTCGACCGGAGAGTGAGAACTTGTGCACCCACACCGTCAATATTAAAAAATTCCGATCGTTTTTTTCCCGCACGCGAAAAATTAATCTCCAACGCACTCCCCCGACAATAAACCCCAACTAGGGGGAAAAACAAGAGGAGAGACCCCAGGGATAAGAGACCCTTTAACCCGCCGAGATCCGAGCCGACACGACGCTGGCCCCAGGGCGCCCACACGAAAACTGACAGGTGCCGAGCCGAGCGAAGCGCCACCCCAGATCCCTTCGGTTTTCATTCACAAGAAACCAGGGGCTCCGATGAACGGGACCCAGGCCTCAATGGGGCTCGAATGAATGAAACGGGGGTGGCGCGGGAAGGGGGCAGTAGGGAGGGGCGCAGTGGGGGCTCAGCGGGGAGGGCGCCTCGCCGCGATGTAGGGCAACCTTGCTGGCAGGGCGCAGGGAGCCTGCCCGCCCTTGTCAAATCCTCCCTAAATCCGCTCAACCTACCCTTAAAATTCAGTGTAAAACGCTCGAATTTTACCCTGAGCTGGCAGGTCCGTGTTGGCGGATTGGCTTTGAAATTGGCGTTTTTCTTGTGTGGATTATGGGGGTTTGGTTGACGATCTGGCAACCTTGGGCCAGCCGCTCATTGATTCGAGCCCCGGCGCCCCCGTTGCCGGCTTGCCCTCCTCGCAAGGGGCGCTCCAGGAGCCTAGAGTGCCTTTCTACTGAGAGTTAAGGTGATTCGTCAAGCTCAATTGACGTGGTTGAACTGGCATGCGATGTATCGCATCGATTAGGTCAAAAAATCTGGGCAGATTTTGAAATTTTAGCCAAAAAAAGGACGATAGCCCCTACGCATGCATGAGCATAAAGAATCATTCTAAACCCAAACATTTGCAAAATTTAGAGAAATGAAAGCAGAATAGTGTTTGGGATAAAACCTCGCATTCGATTCAACTATCGATTTCTGTATCGAATGCGAGGTTTTTTCCAAACACTATTCTGCTTGAATTTCTCTAAATTTTGCCGATTTTTGGGCTTCGAATGATTCTTTAGGCTCTTGCGCAGGGGCTTTCGTCCTTTATTTGGCTAAAAATTCAAAATCTGCCGAGATTTTTTACCTAATCATTACGATACATCGCACGCCAGCTCGAGCACGTCACTTGAGCTTGACGAATTACCTTAAGACAATGTGAATCCATCCTGATTGGTTACCGTATTTTAGGCATCCACAGTGTTACAAACGGGAGTAAAGATTAATCATTTTCACCAATAAACGGGCATAGTACTTCCATTTCCCGGAACTAGTACCGAATTTCGGAACTTTTGATATTTTTCTAAATTGTTCCTGAAAATTTGGAAATTCTCGGATTGTTCCGGATTTTTTGCATTTTCCGGAACTTTCTCGGATTTTTTAATCAAATTAAAAATAATTCCGGAGCTTTTGACGGCCATGGAGTGGGAGGAACTGGAACTAGAGCCCCTTTATACTGAGAGTTAAGACAATGTAAATCCATCTCTGATTGGTTACCGTATTTTAGGCATCCACAGTGTCACAAACAGGAGTAATGATTACATTTTCACCGATTGCAAAGATTATAATCTGGAATGGACCGGGAAATCACGGGTGCGGCAAGAAACAAGCGGAATGAGAGAAGGAACGGAGAGTGGAATTCGAGGATGAGCCGATTAAAGATTACGAAAAACTATCAATTTGTGTAATCTTTATTCCCGTTTTTGACTCCATGAGGGGGTGTTGTCTTACCTCTCAGTATAAAGGGACTCTACTGGAGCCGAGACTCAGTGGAGAAATTATTTGGAGAGGGCAAATCTTCAAAAAAGGAGGGGTATCGTTAAGGGCCTTTTTTGGCCCCACCCTAAAATTCCTCAACTCTGCGATTTTTTGGTCATTGAAGGTCTATATTTTACGGAATGCACAATGGTTTTGTCATTTCCGGTCTATTTCGGGGTCTACCACTGGCCTAAACATGGGTCTGAAGGCCAATTTTGGCGAAAAGTGCGGGTTTTTCAGCATTCGACGCGCTGTTTCGTAACGATCCCTTCGGAGGACAAAAAAGTCCTTCAAGTATGTTCATTAGGGATGTAAGAGAGTCACTTTGGCCAATTTTCGTCGATGTCAAACTTTGCGCTCATAGTTAAAAAAAACTTTTTAGAATTTTTCTTGTTTTTCATCATTATTTAAAATGGCTTAAAAAAGGCGACTCATCTTACACCAGAATTAAACTTTTTTGGCAGAAAATGGTCGTGGGTGGTCAAAACCTTCCTCTAAGAACTTTTTCCGTTTTAAAGCCCCCCAAAAAAGCCGGTGTTGCCATATTTCATTGCCTAAAATCATAGAAAACCGAGTACTTATTTCAGTATTTGGGGGCTATTTCTCGTCGAGCTCATTCAGAAAAGTCCAAAAACCTTCATTTTTCATATGTTATGGCCGAATCACCAGTAATTACATACATTTATTTAACTACAGAACCTCCCATCGCGGCACGGCGTTGCCACATCATCGGGGAAAAATCGATAAAAATCCACGTTTCCCTGGATTTGAGCCATTTTTTCGGATTATGCGGATGGAATAAAGTTGAAAGACTTGAAGAGTGCAGAACTGGTCAAACAACAAAGCGACATGGACTCAGCTTGACTCAGAGAGCCTCAATGATTTTCCTAGGCTTACTTTGGACGAACTGCGCCTGATCACCATGGGGATATATCAGCTGAAACAAGCCAAGTCATACACAGCTGAACACGAGAACGATGATGGGTTGTATGAGCTATTCGTTCACAGAGAATGCACCGACGTCATCAGGGTGAAATTGCAGAGCCGCCATGTATCAGCCAAAAAATACCACCTTTGGATACAGTATCACCCCATGGGCGTTTCTGGGTGGTATTGCCAGTGCAAAGTGGGCGCTAGAGTCGTCGGCTGCTGTGCGCACATCGCATCTGTCATGTGGTACCTCGCTCATCACAGACATAAGACAGAAGCACAAAAAACCAAGCGTTTGTCAGATGAGTACGGGTCATTTCTTCAAGATTCCGCAACGGTAGCTCCAAATGAGTGGTCTGATGGAGAGGACGAGGAACCTGATGAAGAGGGGACAGATGAAGATGCAACTGGAGAGGAGTGAGGGAAACCAGAGAAGAGAGGAGGGGGCAACGAGGGCAGCAGTATTATTCGAGGGTAAGGACAATTTTAAATGCAAGTTTAATGTTCCTAAATGAAATGTGCGAAATGCGATATTAATAATATATGCGATAATAAATGCAAATTTAGGTGGAGTAGATAAAAAGTTACTGTTTTAAATTAATTTAGGGAAGCAGAATTCTGAGCAATCGCTGCCGATAAGAGGGCTGGGGGAGGGAGGGGGTATGGTGGTGGTTGTCAGGGCGGGTAAAAATTCAGCATTGAGGACTCGCGATTCTGACACATGGCTTACTTTCTTTCGGACTTCAGATCACGGCCAATGTTTGAAAGTCGCATCCTCTTGCGCAAATATCGTGCCTAGAAATCGTAAGAATATGGGTTGTCTATAAGCGCAATATATTAAAATAATAAATACCGGCACAAGGTATGATCCACTTGCATCTCTGAATACTGCAATTTAAGTCTTTCAACTTTATTCCATCCGCATAATCCGAAAAAATGGCTCAAATCCAGGGAAACGTGGATTTTTATCGATTTTTCCCCGATGATGTGGCAACGCCGTGCCGCGATGGGAGGTTCTGTAGTTAAATAAATGTATGTAATTACTGGTGATTCGGCCATAACATATGAAAAATGAAGGTTTTTGGACTTTTCTGAATGAGCTCGACGAGAAATAGCCCCCAAATACTGAAATAAGTACTCGGTTTTCTATGATTTTAGGCAATGAAATATGGCAACACCGGCTTTTTTGGGGGGCTTTAAATCGGAAAAAGTTCTTAGAGGAAGGTTTTGACCACCCACGACCATTTTCTGCCAAAAAAGTTTAATTCTGGTGTAAGATGAGTCGCCTTTTTTAAGCCATTTTAAATAATGATGAAAAACAAGAAAAATTCTAAAAAGTTTTTTTTAACTATGAGCGCAAAGTTTGACATCGACGAAAATTGGCCAAAGTGACTCTCTTACATCCCTAATGAACATACTTGAAGGACTTTTTTGTCCTCCGAAGGGATCGTTACGAAACAGCGCGTCGAATGCTGAAAAACCCGCACTTTTCGCCAAAATTGGCCTTCAGACCCATGTTTAGGCCAGTGGTAGACCCCGAAATAGACCGGAAATGACAAAACCATTGTGCATTCCGTAAAATATAGACCTTCAATGACCAAAAAATCGCAGAGTTGAGGAATTTTAGGGTGGGGCCAAAAAAGGCCCATAACGATACCCCTCCTTTCCACGAGGATACTGCAACGTTGCCGTGATAGCGAAGAGAGCAGTAAGTGCAAAAATGAGGTTTTGAGGAAACGGGCTCAGAAGCTCCTAACCGGAAAATTGTATTGAAAGAAGGTTCAATCTTTCTCAAATTAGTCCTAATCGTCCGAAAGGCTCCTGGAAATCGTTTAGATGATTGGAAATCGACCGATTTTATTTCAACTGCATAGAAAGGATATTTTTCATTTTCATGATAGGTTAGTGTTAGGTAAGACAGCCGTAAGAGCCATCTTCTGCATGCTTTCGTGGTTGCGTTTCGGACACACAACAAACACCTTTTCAGGTTAGAAATTGGCAGAAGAGGGCGGCACTTTACTTGAATCAGTGAGTTCGATAACACATGCACCAACTCGGTAACTCAAAATTGGACTGCATTTTGCAATTTGGAACTATAAATTCTAGCCTGGTTTAAAAACAACGTATGTGCTATTAGTTTCCCTGTGTGCATAAGTGTTCCTCCAGAAGAGCCAGAATTTATAGTTCCAAATTGCAAAATGTAGTCCAATTGCTCAATTTTCATAAGAGACGGTCAATTTCTATAATAGTCATTGAGGTTAACGCATCTGTTCCAACTTGGACCTTTAATATGCGCTTAATTGCTTGTATTTCGGCACCAAAAATCTCTTTCTTCGACTAATTTCTTCATTTACTGTTCGGTTTCGCGTGTGTCTTGATTCTTTTCATTTTTTCGAGTTGGTGTGTTTCCATTCTCACTGATTCACTTGAAAGCACTATTTTCATTGGCTCTTTGGAGGAATATTGTCACTTA